ATGTAAACTATAACGTAAATTTTAGCAGCACATCTATAGTTTACTCTGCTTCAGTCTTAAACTGTTAAAAAATGACTAATAGTAATAAAGTGCAGTAAATTTCAGTTCAAACTTAAATGGAACAACTAAAACAAAATCTCAGAAGAACCACAGGGAAAAATAAAATGCTTTTACAACAAACTTCCTTCCATATTCTGCTTATGTCTTAGTTTGTTCTACAAGAAAGAAAAAAAACAGCATTGAAGTTACTGCAACAACTGCAGCATAGTGCTGTTTATGAAGTCTACTGCTAGCAGCAGCAAACTCTTTGAATTCTTTGTCATGTTTTGTACTCAAATGTTTAATCAAATTGCTGCTGTTAAAACATCCAACTTTCACTCCTCCTCTTGACAGTTAGCAGAGCACAGCAGACAGTCTGCTTGTTTGGTGTCCTCCGTGCCGATCTTAAAATATCTCCAAACTGCCGGCGTTACTTCTTCTTCTCATCGTTCTTCTTTTGTTATTCGGGGGTGCGGTCGGAAATAACTTGTCAGTGCATTAGCGCCCCCGCCTGGTATGGATTGTTGTTTACCCTTTGTGCTGCAGTGCAGCACAGGAGGAACAAAAAAGGGGACAAAAGYGGTATCGGTTAAGAGTATCGGCCGGCTTTTACGAATACGAGTACGAGTACTTGATGCTGGTATCGGACCCGATACCGATACTGGTATTTGTATCGGGACACCTCTTCTATGAACTGAATGGTAGTATAGCTAGAGGTAATGTGTCATTGGGAGAAACTCTTGAGCAGCCTCTACAATATGAACATGTAGGAGCTTTGTGAATGTTTAGTTACGGTTGTGTTCAGGAGAGCCTTTGTGTTTTCCTTTTTTATTTTGTCACTAATCTAGTTTTTCAAGAGAGGTTTCTCTAAGCTGCTAGATTTGATCAGAAGGCCCTCAGCAAAATGGTGTCAGTGTCCCAGTGGCAAAAATGGATAGTGTGTCACACACCAGGGCTGAGGCCTTAGGAGACGAAGCTCCCGATGTGTTGCAAAGCAACCCTCTGACTTGGCCTATTGTGCTGCAGAGGAACGGTGAATAGCGTTCTCCAGCATGGGGGAACAATCACACATTGTTCCCCTGCTGTGGCAGAGAAGCAGTGGGTTACTCTCTGTACCATCGCCAAAGCGCCTGAAGAGAAGATGCGCTGCAAAATCTGTGCCTTCTAACTAGCAATTCTTTTAAGGTTTAGAGCTCTGCATCGCTGTTTCCTCATAGCTGGTGGAGAGGGGGGCCATTTGTCCCTGTGTGTGGAGCAGAGTGGCTTTTCTTGTAACGAAGCAAGCGTCTTTTGGATTGTTATGATTTGAATTTATTGAAAACCTCCAGGAGAGGGAAAAACCCCCAGCTTGTACCAAGGTGGGGAGTTGGCCTTCAGAAGAACAAGATCTGAAGTGATTTGTTAGCATGTCGATGAAGTCCCTGAAAGAGTTTGGTGTTTCTGTGGAAAGACTGGGCTCATTTTGTAAAATATGGATGGCTCGTGTCCAAAGGTCTGTGTATAAATGCCTTTTTATTACAAAGTATTGACTTCTTTCTATTTCATTTAAAAGCTTTGCCAACCTCTTTGTTAGATGATGTGTGATTTGATTTATCTTTTTTGTGTCGTATTTTTAATGTCTATTGGTTCATGTGTGACATGTTTTCACATAATCGATGCCTCAGTAGGTTTCAGTTCCTGTCATGTTTTCAGTGTCTCTGCCCCAGTGAGAAACTGTTGGACTGATTTTTGTGTTTGACACTAAGGTCCTGTAGCTGTTTGTACACTGGTGGATATTGATTCTCTGTCTCTAAGGCTTACCTCAAAGGAAACGGCACACTTCAGAATTTCATTGATCTCCCACCATTACTTTTAAGACCACGAATAGTTGCTCAATATGGACTACAGAGAAAAAGATAAACTCAGACTTCAGCGTTTGTGTGGACATTTTAAGATGTCCTGACTTGCAGAACTCAGTTTTATCCCCACACTTATACGAGTCTGGTAACTATTAAATTATTTTTTATTTATATCTGATTTACCTAATTTATGCACCCATATCTCACCGTCAGCGTCTTTTTTTCTTTTGTGCTCCGAGTTTGGTGAAACACAAATAATTGCTCAAAATGGGGACTTGTTTCATTGCAATAACTGCATTTAAAACTTCTTAAGTCTGATTCAGTTTTAACAGGCTTATGGCAAACACTTGATGAGATTTTGAAAGTACTTGTTATATCTTGTATTCAAAAATAGGGTGTGTCACTGATAAACAAGTATTTTATTCTTTATATAAATGATTACAGCTTAGATCTGTTAGCCTTCTTATAATAAAGATTCATTCTCATAATTACTGACTCCTTAAATATAAAATGTTTGACACAAACCTGTTAATGTTATATTAAAAATATCGTCTGTCTGAAACCTCAGTTTCAAAATGTGAAGTCATTTTTTTTGTTATCTAAACAGAACAAACTCAGACACTGTTTATAGGTTTGACTTCTCAAAAGGACTGTGTCACTTCCCTTGTGTTTTTTGGAGCTGCCAAACAGCTTTCAGCAGCACCAGTGTGACCATTATCATCTAAAATAGATGAGAGGCAGCAACAACGTAAAGCGGTTCCTGCTCCCAGGACTTCCTGTTCATCTTTGCATTAGGTTTTATTATTAATCTGGAGGAAACAAATGCTCCGGCACAGGGTTAGGACAAAATCTTAAGCTGTAGGCTGTGTATTGGCAAGAATTTGGCGATACGATACATATCATAACAGAGGGGTCACGATACGATATATCCCGATATATTTCGATACCGTAAGCAAGGCAATATATTGTGATATATTGTGATTTTTTTTTTTGTCCAAAAATTCTATTAAAAAAAAACCTCTTAATGAAAAAGAAAAAGAAAAGCTAATGTTTACTTACAATGCTAATGCTACCCTTACTCTCTGGC